AATGAGCTATTTGAGCAAAATTGTCTTGGAAAAAATAAAAAATTTCTTTTTTTTTGAGAGGGTGTCCTTTGGAAGTGTATTTAAACACTTAAGTACCGGCATGAAGTACCCCTTCATTATTAGGCAATTTTTTCAGTTTTCAGCTCTTTGCAAGTTTGGCTGAGAATTCCTCCTTCACCCAACACTGTAACAAAATTCATTTTATATAATTTGTTGGGGACAAAGTCAGCTTTCTTTTAGTGGCATTTATTAAACCCTTTTTTTTACTATATAAAGTAAAAAAGTCCAAAGAAATTAAAATGAAAAAAAAAAAGCCTGTTTCTCTTACTTTGGTTTATAAATCATAGCAGATAAAATGTCAGGACATTATAAAAATCCCAGAAATGACCCCTTTTTGAAAAGTAGACACTCCAAGGTGATCTGATTTTTTTTAATGCATTTTTTTGGAAATGAAGAACAATGCCGGTATTGAGGGGGTTCAAACATGGAACGTGTTAATAGTGCACAAAATGCAATCAATGTACAGGCCATAGACAGAAGTAGGAGTAGGTGGAGGGGTTAATGTACAGGTCACATACAGTGGGAGGATGGAGACGAATGGTTTATTGTATAGATGAGCAGGATAAGGGAGGTGAAAGGGTTACTATACATGTCACAGCAGAGACAGAATGGATCTAACATAAGTTGGAGGGGAGAGGGTTTAAAAGGGTTAAAAATGATTTGAAACTTTATTTTTGATTTTTTTTTTCTTTTAATCACTTTTCATAAATTTTTCAATGAACACATAGGGGTCTAGTCACTAAGCTGCCGAGGGCAGCCGAGTGAACAACCGACCCCAAGTGAAGTGAGCTGAACACTGTTCGGCTATTCACTTCAGGCTTGTACGGCTGATTTCAGCCGTATATTGGCTGAAATCAGCCGTAAAACGGCTTGCTTCGCATGGCTTCGGGTCGGCCAAACATGATCAGCATGTTCGGCCAACCCGAAGTGCAGAAGGAGTTTGACTCAGCCGATCCAACATCTGGATCGGCTGAGCCGAACCTCCGGCAGTCTACTCGCTGCTGTTCGGCCTATTCTTATAGATGCTGAACAGCAGTGAGTGAATAGCCGAATGACGCTGAGCGGACCGAGCAGAGCAGAAAAATTGTTTAAAAAGTTTTTAAAAATAAATAGAAAACGATTGTGCGGAGCTAGCAGTCTCCCGTTCCCGGCCACCAAGGAGAGAAACACTGCTTTTTCTTTTTTTTTTTCTTTATTCTGACACAGAGCCGTGTCAGAATAGAAAAAAAAAATAATAATAATTTTTGCCCATAGGAATACATTGCTAGATTCCTATTGGCTATTTCAATTTGCAATAGCCAATAGTAAACTAGCATTGTACCCGCCCTCTGCTGATGGACCTGATGGAGAACTGCAGCAGAGGGCGGGTGCAATGCTAGTTTACTATTGGCTATTGCAAATTGAAATAGCCAATAGGAATCTATCAATGCATTCCTATGGGCAAAATGTTTACATTTTTTTTTCTATTCTGACACGGCTCCGTGTCAGAATAAAGAGAAAAAAAGAAAAATCAGCATTTCTCTCCTTGGCGGCCGGGAGCGGGAGACTCCCGGAGCGCCAGGGAGAGTTTGCTGTCTGGAGATCAGTTTTCCTGGTTAGCTGGTAACCAGGGATGCTGATCTCTGTGAAAATGGCTGGCCGCTCGGCCAGCTTCGGATTTCAGCACGGCTCAGTTTGGGAGCTGTATGGGCTATTGTGAATAGCCCATACAGCAGCCCTGCGGTTCTACTGAGTACACGGCTCCGTGTCAGAATAAAGAGAAAAAAAGAAAAATCAGCGTTTCTCTCCTTGGCGGCCGGGAGCGGGAGACTCCCGGAGCGCCAGGGAGAGTTTGCTGTCTGGAGATCAGTTTTCCTGGTTAGCTGGTAACCAGGGATGCTGATCTCTGTGAAAATGGCTGGCCGCTCGGCCAGCTTCGGATTTCAGCACGGCTCAGTTTGGGAGCTGTATGGGCTATTGTGAATAGCCCATAAAGCAGCCCTTCGGTTCTACTGTGCCGAAGGGGTCCTGAGGCTGAAGCTAGCCGAAGGATCGGCCGAGGCTACGGCTGGATCCTTCGGCTGCTTCGTGAATAGACCCCATGGACACATAAGACAATCAACCTTAAATCGTTCATTCCTTACTTCACATTGTAAATTCACAACCTCCATATGTTTTACAATTTTAACATAATAATTACCTAAAAACTTTGCATTATATATAGTCTACTACAGCGAATGGATGGCTCATCCATTCAGGACTCACTTTACTGTCCCCTGCCTCTGATGTAAGAGGAAGGGAAGGGCTTGACAATGCAAACATTGCAATGATAACCAATTACAGCACACAGAGCCGGTCCGATCAACTCCCCTCTGTCTCATGACACTGGGAGCAGTGGCTGCGGCTGTTCTGCAGGCTAGATGCTGATTGTCTGGGAAGCCAACTTACCAGCCAATCAGCATTGAGCCGGCTTCCCGGCCAATCAGGAAGCCGGGTCATTAGTTGCCACCTGGCTTCCTGATGCCCTGGAAGACAGCTCCATGTTCCCCTACGGCACTGCCAGTCAGAGGAAATCTTTCTATGACCGGAAGTTCAGGTATCAGGGAAGGTATCAGAGCATTTTGGTGAGCCAGCATTTGGCACTCATTATATATAGTCTACTACAGCGAATGGATGGCTCATCCATTCAGGACTCACTTTACTGTCCCCTGCCTCTGATGTAAGAGGAAGCGTAGGGCTTGACAATGCAAACATTGCAATGATAACCAATTACAGCACACAGAGCCGGTCCGATCAACTCCCCTCTGTCTCATGACACTGGGAGCAGTGGCTGCGGCTGTTCTGCAGGCTAGATGCTGATTGTCTGGGAAGCCAACTTACCAGCCAATCAGCATTGAGCCGGCTTCCCGGCCAATCAGGAAGCCTGGCACTGCCAGTCAGAGGAAATCTTTCTATAACTGGAAGTTCAGGTATCAGGGAAGGTATCAGAGCATTTTGGTGAGCCAGCATTTGGCACTCCGGTCACCGGAGACCTTCGGTTCAGTCGAACCGAAGGGCTGCTGTACAGGCTATTCACAATAGCCCGTACATTCGGCCGAAGCTACGGCTGGATCCTTCGGCTGCTTCGTGAATAGACCCCATGGACACATAAGACAATCAACCTTAAATCGTTCATTCCTTACTTCACATTGTAAATTCACAACCTCCATATGTTTTACAATTTTAACATAATAATTACCTAAAAACTTTGCATTATATATAGTCTACTACAGCGAATGGATGGCTCATCCATTCAGGACTCACTTTACTGTCCCCTGCCTCTGATGTAAGAGGAAGCGTAGGGCTTGACAATGCAAACATTGCAATGATAACCAATTACAGCACACAGAGCCGGTCCGATCAACTCCCCTCTGTCTCATGACACTGGGAGCAGTGGCTGCGGCTGTTCTGCAGGCTAGATGCTGATTGTCTGGGAAGCCAACTTACCAGCCAATCAGCATTGAGCCGGCTTCCCGGCCAATCAGGAAGCCGGGTCATTAGTTGCCACCTGGCTTCCTGATGCCCTGGAAGACAGCTCCATGTTCCCCTACGGCACTGCCAGTCAGAGGAAATCTTTCTATGACCGGAAGTTCAGGTATCAGGGAAGGTATCAGAGCATTTTGGTGAGCCAGCATTTGGCACTCCGGTCACCGGAGACCTTCGGTTCAGTCGAACCGAAGGGCTGCTGTACAGGCTATTCACAATAGCCCGTACAGCAGCCGAAGGCGGCCAAGTGGCTCAGCTGAGCCGAAGGTATATGCTTTGGCTCGACTGAGCCAAGGTGACAGCCGAAGCGGAGCGAATGGCTTGCCGAAGGCCGGCCTTTCGCCATGCAAATAACAGCTGTGTGGAGCTGTTGCACAGTTGTAATGACAGATCAGCGTCCCTGAATGACCTAAGGACGCTAAGCTGTCATTAAATAATAACAACTGGGCGGAGCCGGCCGTGACATCACAGCTGGCTCCGCCCAGTTGTTATTCATTGGTTGGGACCTGCTAGAAGACCCTAGCAGGTGCCGGCCAATGGGGAACAGTTGGGTGGAGATAGCTATCACTGCTAGCTCCGCCCTATTGTTTTATTTTTTTAATTTCTATTTTTTTTTACATTTTACTATTTATTTACATTTGTAAAAAAAATGTAAACCTTTCTTTTTTTCGACTATTTTCATTGATTTTGTATTCTGTTTAGTACCACGGAGGTACCAAGCAGAATACCTGAGCCGAATGCCGTTCGGTGGCATTCGACTATTCACTCACTGCCGAGTGAGCTGCTGAGCTTCGGCTCAGCCGATCCAACATCCTTCTGCACTTCGGGCTCAGACGAAAATGTTCGGCTGACTGAAGTGCAGCCAGAGGCAGCCGCTGTACGGCTGATTTCAGCTGTTGCCCGGCTGAAATCCACCATACTGAGCCGTAGTGAATAGCTGAACGTAATTCGGCTCACTTCACTTCGGCTGGGTTATTCACTCGACTGCCTTCGGCAGCTTTGTGAATAACCCTCTAAGTTTAGTAAAGAAGGTAAAGACGTGTTCACTTTAAATACCAGTTTATGTGCAAGGTAAATTAAAATAATAGATTTGTTTTCCATATAATTGGATAAATGAAGTGATCACTGAGTCACCTTATTCAGTAAACTAAATGAACATTAGCTTTTTAAAATTAGCAGTCTCTACTATTCTGGCCGTGACAGAGTTAAGACATTACCTTGTGTAAATCCCCAGTTCCCAAACTCTCCATAATCACCATACAGAGTTATTTCTAAAAACTGTAACTTCACACATCCATCTGTTTAACTTTCAAGGTGAAGGGATAATTGCTGATTTTAAAACCATCTATTCTCACTCTTCTATGGTTTGGTAAGGAAAAGCCCTTTTTTACATCCCCTTCTTGTGAAAGAACATGGAACGTTCTCTAGAGCTATGACTACTCCTACTACCTTCAGCCTAAGAAGGGCTGTCATGAATCATGTTGTCTCACTTTTAAAGGAACAAAAAAAAAATATGCGTCTGTTAAGCTGCAGAGAGACAGGCCTGAGAGAATGTTAAATCTCCCATCATTTTTACTTGCCAGTTTTACTGGCTGTGTGACCTGAGCTCCTTTTTTCTTTTTTTCTTTTTTTTTTTGAAAATTGCTTTCAGATTCTATTTGTTCTCTTAGAGTTAGTCGCATTTCAAGAAAGAGAAAGCAGATCTGGTTGTACTCTTGTATGTTATCAGGTAGGTCTTTTGTTTGTTACTTTGCATTATTGTGATTAGCATAGACTGCTTTGGTTAACCTCTTTTGATCCTTTTGACAATTTTGGGAAAAAAAGGTTTTTGGGTTTTCTTTTTCTTACCTTAGGCAAAAGCTGTTAATATCAGGTGGAAAATATGAGCTGATTAATGTGAGAAAGCTGTACGAGTGTGTGAATTTGTTTCAGCTGCAAAAAGCTTTCAGTGAAAGCATTACTTGCAGCTGCCATTTTATGTGTTGGCTTTTAGAGCAACGAGTTGTTTTCAATGTATAGCAAATGTCAGATATCTAAACGCTGAGCCTTTCCAACTTCGTCCTGCCTTCCTGCCTTTAATTGTTGGAAGGAATACATGTTCTTGTTTGCATTGTTTGCAACTATTGTATGTCCCTAATATTTCTATAACATACTGTATGTATGTATGTATGCAAGCATGTATGTATGTGTCTGTCTGTCTATCCATCTTTCTCTGTCTATCATCTATCTATTATATATACCTCTTATCTATCTATCTATCTATCTATCTATCTATCTATCTATCTATCTATCTATCTATCATGTCTGATATGCAGTGTGTGCATGTCTACGTGTAATTATAATGCGCATTTTTCATAGCTAGATTAACCTTTTTTTTATTGATTTTATTTTTGAACTTCTGCCTAATTTTGGACACGTGCTTCACCAACTCAAGCACGTTTTTGAACCCTTTCTGTTTAATGTTACTACTTCTGCAAAAGTTTCATATTTTATTATTTTATTTTTGGTTACGTCCTATGTTCTTTTACGTTGATGTGCTGTGCATAGCAGAAAGAAAGTGTGTATATATATATATATATATGTGTGTGTGTGTGTGTGTGTGTTAATATACTTAATTATTTACTTTATACTA